TTCCAGTGTTTTCATGGTTATACATCCGTGTTTTGTTTCCAGTCTTTTCATGGTTATACATCCGTATATATCTTCCGCTGTGGTTGGTGGTTCGTGATAAACTCCAACTTTTAATGCTCCCCAAAGGAAATAGTCCAGCGGCGTTAAATCTGGTGAACGAGATGGCCAACCAATGATACTGCCACGTCCAATCCAACGATTAGGAAACATTCTATTTAATACTTGCCGCGATTGTCGAGCATAATGTGCTGGACAGCCGTCATGTTGATACCACATTATTTGACGTATTAAGCATGGTACATTTTCTAATAGGCTTGGCAGTGTTTCAGATAAGAATGTGGAGCACGTTTGACCTGTTAGTGATCTTTCAAAGAAGTACGGTCCAATGATCTGGTGACCAATTATACCGCACCAAACATTCAAATTCCACCTGTGTTGATGGTCAACTTCACGAAGCCAATGTGGGTTCTCTGTTGCCCAATAATGGTAATTTTATTATAAAAACCATCGGGTGCAGGTCACTGACTTACTCCAAGCATCAGCTGCTGCGAGCCATGTGTTCTATCTTCGAGTGTCGAAAGTCGACCCATTGACCCATTGACGTTCTTCTACGAGCAGGTGCACTGACCAACGAAGAAGTTCAATTTTGATTCTTTTCACATTTTTCATAATTTTACCTATCCTGTAATTTGTAAAGTTGTTTGTTATTTCATTTAGCATGTTACATTTGTTCGGTGAACGTAAGTAACGACTAATCCCTTTTCTTCTTCTGATATTTAACCAATTTGTTAGTTCGTTTTTGCATGCAACATTTCTTTAATCCTATGCTTTCGTCACGAGCGCGACATACGGGCGCGGCAACGCACGAGGCGGTTATCGCGCTCCTGCCCGCCTTATATACTCGCGCTCTGATTGGGCGGGGATTTTTGTTAATAACTCAATAACCACGCATCGGACAACTTTTTCGCAAAGGAAAAAGTTGTTTAAAATCACCTCAGCTCCTCCTCATTTTCGGGCGTAAAGGGAGTTCTGGGACACCCTGTATGTATGTAGATATATGTATATA